GGGGCCTGCACGGCCCTGCACCCCCCAGCGCCTCCACAGAAACACTTCCTGCTCTAATCACTGCCAGCGACGACCTGCCCTCCGGGGTCAGCACCGGCCTGGGAGGCCCAGGACCACGGCTTCCTGGGGGCGCTCTCGGTCTGGCCTTTGTCCTTAATCCTCACCCGACTGCAGTCGAGGGCACGTACCTCGTTCGCAGGCTGGATCCCCGGCCCTGGTCAGGGCAGGTGTGAGGCAACCAAGCGCTGTGTCTCTCTCACATCATCCATGTTTCTTTCTCTCAGTCTCTCCTCTCCCACTCTCTCTAAAAATCAATGGGAAAGTGTCCTCGGGTGAGGACTAACAAAAAAAAATAATAAAAAAATTAATGGTTGACTTCTTTGAAGAACTTTATTGGTTTTGGAAAGAGGAAGAGGAAGAGAGAGAACACACACCTATCGGCTGCCTCCTGGATGCACCCCAACCCAAACTGAACGGCGGGACCAAACACAACCTGGGCGTGTGCCTGAGCTGGACCCACCCGCCACCTGTGGTGCACGCGTGACCCCCCACAGGAGGAGACACCAGGGCTGAAATGGCCCATGTTTTTTTGTTAATCCTCACCTGGGGACATTTCCCCATTGATTTTTAGGAGAGTGGAACAGAGAGGGAAAGACAGAGAAACAGCCATTGGAGAGAAACATCCATTGGTTGCCTCCTACACAAGCCCAGACCAGGGCCTGGGCCAGGGAGGAGCCTGTGACTGAGGTCTGTGCCCTGGACCGGAATCGAACCCGGGACCCTTCCACACGTAGGCAGAGGCTCTGTCCAATAAGCCAAACCGGCCAGGCCTGGTCTGTTCTTGAACCGAACCCCGCTGGCAGGCACCACCGAGAGGCCAGCCTGGCTCCTGGGTCACCTCCCACCCCACCTCCCACCAGAGGGGGAGGGCTGGGCACGTGGCTTTGCAGGGTCTCCCTGCGGCTGGACAGTGGACACGTGAAGTCGGGGTGACTAAGGGGACCCCGGGCCACGGCTCTGGAGCCCAGGCCCATCGAGGCCGGTGATGCTCAGGACGCTGCCCCACCCCCCGAACTCAAGGTCTGAGCAGCAGGGTCTTGAACTGTCTCCTTTATTCGTTCGTATTTGCAGTATCAAACAGCTGGGCACCCACTCACGCGGCCGGAGAGGGAGCTGGGTCAAGGTCACTTGGCAACTGGGCTGGACCCCAGACCTCCAGGCACTGGAGGGGGACCCCAGCTGGACCCCCACCAAACCCCTGCCCAGGGCCTGTGGGAGGCGCAGGGGTTTCGTGAGTGTTGTCAGGGCCTTGTGGGAATGTCACGGGAGAGGCGTCTTGGCCGGGACCCCAGCCCCCAGAGCCGCGGGCCAGGCGAGGGTCCTTGAGCTCCCGGCCCAGGGAAAGTGCAGGCCTGGGGCGTAAGGGCTGGGCGAAGGCATGGCCCCACTCAGACCCCCTAGGTGGACCTGAGCTAAAAGGCCGAGTGTGGGTGTGGGCATCTGAACCACGGGGGGCACGGCAGCTGGGGAGGGGGAGACAGTGCCTCGGGGACCCCAACACAGCCCCGCTGGGAAGGGATGAAGGTCCCCCCCCCACCTGCCCAGGCCTGGTTCCGTCTGGCTCTCCCACCCTCTCCTCCCTGGACATACATATAATATAGAATATAGGTCTCTCTCTCTCAATCTTTTCTCCTTTCTTTCTACTTGACTCTATACTTTATTCAAGGAGATAAAACTCCATCTTTTTTTTTTTTCTCAGTGCAAATGGGGGGGG